TATATATATATTTCTGTGCATGTGTATTTGAGAACAGTTACTATTTAAATATTTCGAAATTAGTTTGAAATTTACTTGGAACTAGTAAATACTCTCACCAAGAATGTTTGAATTCTTAAATAAGATATGCTTCTTTATATATATATGTATATATAGAGAGAGAGAGATATAGAGAGAATAATCCCTGACAAATATTTTGTATCGGGTATATGTATGTACACTACATGCGCTGGCTTACTAGTTACACACACACATGCAAACGCTTCCATATACATATTTGGCTATAGTAGAGGCGTAAAGCAGGAGGAGTATGAATTTTTGGATAATCACAACAAAGACACAGGATTTTTATATTCAGTTCGTTGTACTGGGTGCTGCTGATACAATGAGAAATTCCTGACATTCATCTCTCTCTCTCCCCCTCTTAATGTACATATGCATTTACATACATATATGCAGCTTAATGTTTTAGGTTCTTGGTGCGACAATCTGCTATTGCTGCTGCTGATTCGTGGCGCTTAGCCGGCGACCGGTATCTGTGGCTCAGCTTCTAGCTCATAGACTTCATGAATTGGGTTGATTTGGCTGCTGTTCGTGCTGCGACTGCGGGTGGGTGCTATGTGATGCTTGGTTCGTGTTCGTTGGGAAACGATGGGGCGATGCATGCAGATCACTACCATTGATCTGCCTCTGATGCTGCTGCTGCTGCTGTGTAGAAGCAACACTTGCTATTGTTGATTCGCTTTTGATTGGAGCCCCAGCTCCGCCAGGGTTGGAAGGTGTTACGTTTGTGGCAGCCACCGAAGCAGCCAGACGGAACGCTGCTTCCGTGTGTGAGCGCAATATGGCCTCCGCCTGCTGATGCATCCGAAGTGCCGTCTCTGGATGGTGGTTATGCGGATGCTGTGGATGCGACGGCGTTTGCTGCGAGCTGGGCGTCACAGCGTGCTGCGAATAGTTGGATGCCTGATGATGCTGATGATGCAGTGTCTCCATTTGATGCATGCTGCTCAAGCTGGAGTCCAAAGAGCCGCGCATCATGCTCATCATAACCGATGCCGACGTGTCACTCTGCATTTGCAAACTAGGCACGTTTATACCCGGCGATCTCCGAGTGCCCAGATTGATACCCGTGTGGCCCTGCTGGCTGCCGAGCGGCGACAGCAACGGCAAGTGCGACAGAGGCTGATGATGGTGTTGGTGCTGGTGCTGGTGTTGCTGCTGGTGCTGGTGGTTATGCTGGTGTTGTTGCTGTTGCTGTTGCTGCTGCTGTTGTTGTTGCTGTTGTTGTTGCTGTTGTTGTTGCTGTTGCTGTTGCTGCTGCTGCTGCTGCTGGTTCTGCTGATGAAGCACCTGGTGTTCGCTTGGCTAAAAGTAAACCAATTCAAATTGCAAATGTAGTACTTGAGGACATCCATGCCGACGGCCACGAAGTTGTTCAAGCTGTCACCAATTGCTACTACCAAAATGAACTCATTAAAAATGCGAAGTCAAGACATAACGGCCTCCAAATTTGCTCGAGGATCGGCGCCATTTGTGCGGCTAACATGAGGATCGCCGTGAGATCATACAATTCCAGCGATGCTTTGGGGCAGACCACCTGCATACCGATTGCAAAAAGTCGGACCGAAAGTCTTTAATTAACTCTAACTTTCTAACTCTAACTTTAACTTTTAAAGGCAGACGGACGGACAGAACCAGATCGGCACGGATTCTGAATCAATCATCAAGAATCTTTGGCTTGTGCGGCGCACTGACTTCGCATTTTCAACCTGTCCGCGCTAGAGGTACGTACTATTTAGAATCCCATAGGAATATAGGCATATTCACGCACCTATGTAATTCGCGTGTGTATATGCATGCTATCTGGCCTTGTTGTTATCTTATCTTGCTTATAGCAATTAGGACAAACCTGCCAATCGGCCAGTCGGCTAGACCTTACCTGTTGCTGATGATTTGCGGGGTTGTTCAGGCGCATGGCGGCGGCCAGGTTGACGACTGCTGCTTGGACAACCGCACTGCCCGGACCGTCAGTGACGCCGTCTTGTGATCTGGAGCCCGTGGAAGCTGCGACAGCAGCGGCTGCAGCTGAAGCGGCTGCCATTAGGGACATGCGATTTGCGTGCAGCTCGGCGTCCATGTGGTACTGGCTGGAACTGGGCAGGCGCAGCTCGGCCAAATTGATTTTGCTTGAGCTACAGTTGTTGTTGTTGTTGTTGTTAATGCTGTTGTTGTTGTTGTTTCCAGCACTGATAATGTTATTGTTATGACTGCTGTTCTCGTTTTCACTTAAGCCCTGATCTTGATCGTGATCCTGGTCCTGGTCCTGGTCTTGGTCCTGCTCTTGGTCTTGGTCGTGATCCTGGTCCTGATCATGGTCCTGGTCCTGATCCGAAGTGGATGACGAGGAGAGCCGTCCATTCGACGAACACTCCGAGTTCACGGATGGCGAGGGACACAACGAATTGGACCCTCCTCCTTGTGTAACACCCATACCAACTACCAGACCCGCTCCAGCACCCACATCCAATGGCAGCAGATGTCCGGCTGGATCTCGGGCTCCGCTGGTCGACGAGGTAGCCAAACTCGCTGCCAACAAGGACTCGCGTTCCCTTTGCTCGGCTGCCGCTCGAGACTAAAAAAAGAAAGAATAAGTTACACCTGAATATAAAATTAAACATCCATTGCAAAGGGAAAGAACGCAAAGTATAGGGTTGACTTTGAAACATGCCGGGTAATCACGAAAACAATGCTCTGCAATAGTTATATATAAAATGAAAGTGCAATTGTACACACCAAAACATATTGCGCTGCGAACTGATGCTTGGGATCCATACGCATGTGATCCATATGGGTGAGAAGACCTGCAAGTCAGGAGGCATCACTCTATCTATGTATACCCGATGTTGTACAGTGCGCTTACCGTTCTCGTGAGTGAATACCGCCTGGCAAACAGAACACGGCCACATGCGCAGGCTGCTTGTCAGCTGGGAGGTCTCCGCGTGGCAGGCGAGATGCTTGCGCAAGGAGCCTTCATTGACATAGTGCTTTCCGCAGACGGGACAGGGGTGGTTGGCGGTTCTCCGCTTGCCGAGATAGCTGTCATTCAAACTGGACCCACTGGTGTTTGAAGGCTGAGCACAGCTCAGCTCGGACGCACATTGCGCTGCAAGTGAGCTACTGCCGTGGATGGCATCTCCAAATTGCGTCGCTGTGAGACGTAGAGCAAATTAGTCTTAAGTATCAAATAGGCCCGGACTCATTGAATTCATGGATTCAAATTCAGTGAGTCTCAATGAATCAAGGGAGGGAGAGGGAGAGGGAGAGGGAGAGAGAGAGAGAGAGAGAGGAAATTCTGAGTTCTTACGTGGCTCGATCGGCGGCGAGGTCTTCTCTTTGTGGACATGCTTCATGTGATCCATCAGCGCCTCAGTGCCCAAAAAGAGTTTGTGGCACACAGGGCATGAGGTGGCATTGGGCCCACCAATGAGTGCCGCATGCTGCTGCAAGACACCAAGATGCAGCTGTAGCTCCTGAGTTTAGACGAGTTCAGTTGAATGAGATACCGTGCATGTTGGATTGATGGCGATGAGGGTGCAACGACGAAAATACGTAAAGAAAATTTTGCGAGTTGAGTTTTGGAGCAGTCAAGGATGCGTCGAATAGTGGATGATCGAAGTCCGCTAACCAATGAAGCCAATGACCCAAACTCACCTTTGATGTGTGGGTGCGCAGGCTCGACTCTGTGGCGAATCCCTTGCCACAAATGTTACAATGGAATGGACGATTCTTGGCCCGCTCTACCTGGGCATCGTGGTTCCTCAGATGCTGTTGCAGATTAGATAGCTGGATGAATGCTCGACCACAATCCGGCAGGTGACACTTGTACGGTCGCTCTCCTAAAAAAATACAATTCGGACAATACATCAACTGCATTTTGGCATATGGTAATAGTATTATAATGGCACTTTCGTAAACAAATTTAGCAGCTCTATAGAAAGCATATTGCATTAGTCTCTATAGAGCAGTCCCTCAGTCATTTGGATAAATCAATGCAAGGAGCGTTGACGGCCGGCTGACGATTCACAGCTTCCCAGCCTAAATAGCTAGCGAGTCACGCAATCCCATTCTTTCCACTCTTTATCTGCGAGGCAGTGAAAGGGTAGCAAATAGAATATTTCGAATTTTATAGTCGGGCGCCTTTGACTGTATAAAAGAATATAATA